GTGAGTCACCTTGCCCGACCACTCTCTATTTTAAACTGGGTCGTCAGGGAAGGCCACACTGAGTGCTGATATTTGATTAGATGACAGAGTGAAGGGAGGCGGTGAGCCATGGAAACATGTGAAGAGTGGGGAGATCCAGGCTAAGGGATCAGCAAGCACGAAATCTCTGTGAAGGTAGCACGCTCGATGCGTGCAGCAAGACATCTGTATGCTGGCAGCCAAGAATATGAGGGAAGAGGAGTTTGTGAGTCAGGATCAGAGGGGTCATAGGGGCTGGATTACAGGGATTTGTCAAGCAGGGTGAGAACTTTGACTTTTACTCTGAAATGGAAGTCATGGGAGAGTTTCACGCAGGAGAATGGTATTTTGCTGAAGAATCACTGACTTAGAAGATTGAAGAATTTTTCGTGGTGAGTACACTAAAAGCCCAGATTTCACCACGATGCAATCAACATATGCATGTAGAAATCGGCACTTGTACCTCCTAAACATATACAATTTAAGAAAAAAGAATCACATTTTTGTAATAAAAATTATAACACAAGTTCGAGTTCCCTAAGTGGATGAGCTGTTTTAACTGGGACATGGTACTATCCGTTTCTGAGCCTGTCTGTTTCCCCAACCATAAAAAGAAGTCCAGAAATCGATTATGTCGAGTGTTTAAACTCAATCGAGATACGATGTCTGTTATCACCAGCACGGAGGACGGACCCTGGAACTCCGTAGACGCTCAATAAACGTTTGAATGAACGCGGAGCTCTATCGAGCCACGCAATTCCACAAAAGAACAGCAGGTGTCGCACCAGCCCTATAGCCACCTGCCCAGAGCCTTCGGGGCCAGGGTGAATCAGACTCTAACAGGAACCCACTCACTCCTCCGCAGAAGGAGAATTCGGAATTTTCCGAGAAGGCGATTCTGAATGCCGAATCATGAATCTCTCCTCTTAAAAAGCTGACTTTTCATCTTGGGAAAAGGGGGTCCTGGGCCCTTTAACAGCTTGCCAGGTGCTCAGCCGCTGCTTCCCAGAATGCGTGGCGCTATGTAAATGAGACGGTTTTGTGAGCGAGGATGATTCATGCTATGCGAAGCGAAGGGAACATTTTATAAGGACATCCGTCATGATAAATGAGTAGGGAGAATTTATAACCCTTGAAGCCAACCATCTCTCACTTCCCTCAAGGAGTACGACCGTAACTCTAAAAGGTAAGCATTTTTGATCCTTATATAGCTTCTCTGGAAACACAGCCTTCGCCCGGATGATCCTCAGTGGTCTGGGGTGCAGGCTTCAAACCTGTAGCTGTCTAGCGACAGAGTGGTTCAATTCCACCTTTCGGGCGACCGTTACTACCCTTTTAGCTGCGCCGTCTTTCTCAAACCCGACTTTGTTTTACTGATTGCTCGGGACGCGCTCCTCCAGCCTGCACCTGGAGAGGTCGCTGCAGCCCTCCTCATCGCAAACTATTCTCTGCCACTCCGATCTCTGACTATCTTTACTTATTTCCCCCTCCGGAGTATCAAAAACCGCTCCAAAAGATGGAGAAAAACTCATCTACACAGTTCTGGGATATTGGCAGTTTGGAAATTACCCTCGATTTCTCCCTTTCAGTTGCTTACTCATTCAGTCATTTGCTCACCCATTTAGTTAATCACGCATGCACTTATTAATCAAATACTTGCTCATTTGTTCATCTGTCAGTCACTCATCAGAAAAACATTTGCTGAGGACACAGCGGTGGTGACAGCCCTGGCCTTGGTCTCCTGGTGCTCTTACTCACCCAGTAAGAGCGACAAACATTAAGCATCATGTAATTACACGTTTGATTAACAACCACAAAGAGGATAAGAGCTACAAAAGAAACAGAACAGAGAGGCCCTCTCATAAGGAGGACTGAGCTCATAAGGTGTCACGGGAACATTAGAGCAGACACTTGAAGGATGAGAGGGGGAGTATTATGGGATATCGAGGGATCTGGGTGACCCCAATCAAGATGATGGGGGTAATGATAGTTGCACCTTCACTCTGCACTTAGTGTAGGTAGGTACAAGCCTTGCAACTCCTCAAAACAGCCCCATCATAACAGCCCCATTCTACAGAGGAGGAAATGGAGGCTCAGGGAGATGAAGTCTCTTGTCCAAGGCAACCCAGTCTTTTTTCTTTTCTGTTTCTGTTTTAGTTGTTGTTGTTGTTGTTTTACTGAAGCCGGTGCAGTGGCTCATGCCTGTAATCCCAGCACTTTGGGAGGCTGAGGTGGGTGGATCACAAGATCAGGAGATTGAGACCATCCTGACCAACATGGTGAAACCCCCGTCTCTACTAAAAATACAAAAATTAGCTGGGGGTGGTGGTGTGGGTATGTGATCCCAGACGCTCAGGAGGTTGAGGCAGGAGAATCTCTTGAACCTGGGAGATAGAGGTTACAATCAGCCAAGATCATGCCACTGCACTCCAGCCTGAGCAACAGAGCAAGACTCTTTCTGGAACAAAAACAAAAGCAAAAAGAAACCAAAAAATTGCCCTTGTAGAGCAAGGCTAACTCATAGGCAGTGTTTTCTTTTCTTTTTTTTGCAAGGGGGTAGGGGGTGGGCAGGGTCTCGTTCTGTCACCCAAGGTGAAGTGAAGCAATATGATCATGGCTTACTACAGCCTGGAACTCCCTGGCTCGAGCAATCCTCCCACCTCAGCCTCCTGAGTAGCTGGGACTACAGGTGCATGGCACTACTCCCAGCCTCACTCAGACCACTTGGCCCATGCTTTGTATTTTCCTTCCCAAGCCTGCTGCTCACCAAGCCCCAACTATCTTGCCTCTTCAATGTCTGCTGAATCTGTCCCCTCCTCTCTGTCCCATGTCCCTGGCCCTGTTCTAGACTCCTCCTCATCCCTTCCCCCTCGGGGTCCCCACCCCACTTCCTCCCTGGTCTCCTGCTCAGTCTCACTCCTCTCCCTTCCAGTCACCCTGTAGTCACCCTCAGTCTGGGACCAGAGGGGTCTTTCCTAAATCACAAACCTGCTCCTGCCCCTCTCATGTTCAAAACCAGCCATGGCTCCCCAGTGTTCTGAAGAGATCTAAACTCCTTAGCTGGGAATGTCATCATAATACCTGCAGAATCTGATCTCTACTAACCCCTGTTTCTACATCTGTGGCTCCAGTCCTCATGAATCTCTAAGTTTTCTCTTTTTTTTTTTGAGATGGAGTCTCACTCTGTTGCCCAGGCTGGAGTGTAGTGGCACTATCTCGGCTCACGGCAACATCAGCCTTCTGCGTTCAAGCCATTCTCCTGCCTCAGCCTCCTGAGTAGCTGGGATCACGGGTGCCTTCCACCATGCCTGGTTAATTTTTTGTATTTTTTAGTAGAGACAGGGTTTCGCCATGTTGGCTACGCTGGTCTTGAACGTCTGACCTCAGGTGATCCACCCACCTTGGCCTCCCAAATGCTGGGATTACAGGAGTGAGCACAGCACCCAGCCCTCTAATGTTCTCACTGTATCAAGCCTTCTCCCTATCAACAGATCTTTGCCTGTGCTATTTTCTTGGTCTCAGCCTTTTTCTAGTTCTTTCTATACTCTCTATTTATCCTCTAGGACTCAGCTCAGCTGGCTTCTCCTCCAGAAAGTTTTTCCCGACTCCCAGTCCAAGTTAGGTGTGTCCCTGCCCTGCTTCCCTAGCCCCGTGGGCTCCCCCAACCCCATCCACATTAGGTTGTCCCTGACTGGAATGGTGTGTGTATCCCCCAGTGGACTGTGAGCCCCAGGAGGGCAGAACCTGACACTCAGTCCCTGCAGTGTCTACAACACTGCCCGGCACAGTTGGGTAGGTGCCTAGCACATTTTTTTGAATGCATTAATAAATGGAATTCCACCATGACAGCTGCCCTTGCTTATTCATTTACCGACGCGTCTGAGCGACCGCTGTACCCCCACCTCAATTCCCAGAGGACTTGCTGTTATGCAAATGAGAGAGGGCTTGGATTTTGCAATGGGGATGGCTCCGCTCTGTCTTTGAACAACAACAAAAAAAGACAATATATTTGCTTTGGTCGGTCTTGGGTTGGCCCAATAGTGGTCATATGGAAACACATCTTCAGTGTAGTGATTGCAGTTTTTGTAGTTGTAATTTGTTAAATAGCAACAACAACAAAAAAAACAAGGTGACTCCCCATTCTTAGCCTGAGTGGTCTTTAGCAGTTTGCTATGCAATTTTCTCAAGATCCTCTTCTTTTTTTTTTTTCTTCTAAAAGTGAGATGGGTTTCGGATGGGGGGGCGGGTCTCACTATGTTGCCCTGGCTGGCCTCCTACCTTGTCCTCCCACCTTGCCCTCCCGAAGAGCTGGTATTACAGGTGCAAGCCACTGTGCCCAGCCCATTAAGCTTCTTTTGTGTGTAGTTTATCTCCTTAGTGTCTGCTTTTAACCCATTGAATATACAAGCTCCATCACCAGGAGACCTCTGTCACCCCACACCTGCAGGCTACACTTCTACCCCCTTACTTTTTTTTTGAGACAGAGTTTCACTCTGTTGCCCAGGATGCAGTGCAGTGGCACGATCTCAGCTCACTGCAACCTCTGCCTCCAGGTTAAAGCAATTCCCCTGCCTCAACCTCCCAAGTAGCTGGGATTACAGATGTGCACCACCACACCAGGCTAATTTTTGTAAATTTCGTAGAGACAGGGTTTCACCATCTTGGCCAGGCAGGTCTCAAACTCCAGTGATCTGCCCTTCTTGGCCTCCCAAAGTGCTGGGATTACAGGTGTGAGCCACCGTGCCTGGAAGGCACTGCCTGTGTGTACAGGAAGTCCTTCTGACTATCTACCTTCCTTTCAGTCTGCTGTAGCCCCATTAACTAGCAGGAGTTCCTGCATGGGTGTGTGTGTCTGTGTGTATGCATGTGTGTGTGATCTGTGTGTGTGTGTAGTCCTTCCAACAACCTAACCTCACCCCTTCTTACTAAAAGGAAGTCGGGCAGGGGGCATCAGGAGGAAATAAACACTGCACCCTGGCGAATGCATTTTTAAGAGCTTTTTATTGGCAACAGTGCAGAACCAAGGGAGAGGGGACGGCCCATCGCCAGTCTGCCCCAGCCTCCCTCTGGGGTCAGGTGCAAAATACAAAAAGAGAACCACAAATACAGCAGGGGGTGGGGGGGCCAGGGATTCATTGAATTGTGATTGGCAGGGGCAGGCCCTGCTCACATTCTCACACTCGCACCCAGAATTCTCACAGATTATAAAAATCTACGATCCCTCGGGCTTACTCACAGAAAGTAAAATCTCATGTCCCAGTGAACCCAGAGCCAGACAACAGCTGGGGCATCCGCAGGGACAGTCACAAAGGAGGCAAGTGGAAATGGTCAGATGAACATAGACAGGGAGAAAAGATGGAGGGAGAGAGACCGTCAGGAACGATCAGAGGGGCTGGGACGATCAGAAAAGGGTCAGCCCGAGACAGGCTGAGCCAGTTTTCTAGAAGCAGTTTCCAAGTCAATGGCTCGCTTTAAGGGCCAACAGGACAAAGGCCGAGGTTGCAGAAGCGCTCACACACTCACGCGCACGCGCACACTCACGCGCACACATCCATATATAATATATTTATTTATACATAATAGATATAATTGCCTTTCAGAAACCAGGAAAGGGATAAATAGCTACGGAATGGGTCTGGAATCGGGATGGGAGACTCGTGACAAGGGGCACGTGGAATGTTTTTCATGCAGCACGGATGGAGGGTGGCGTGGCCCACCCTCCCGATATTAAAAAATATAAATTTGCCTCATAAACAAATCCTCATGAGATGAAGCGCAGGGAACGGCGGGGTGGAAGAGCTAAAACCAGGGTTGGGGCTGGGGGGACTTGGGCATGGGATCGTGAGATTCCAGCCCCATGAGTTTGCCAGTCCAAAAATATTAGGGGTTTAGGGGTACTAAAGCCTCAGCCCTGAAATCTTCTCCGGAAAAATGTCACACCCCCTTGCTCCCTTCCTAGAGAGGATGTTGGGGGCCAAGGGATGGGAGAAGGTGGCGTCCTTGGCTGGGGATGGGTCAGGAGCCTTGAAGAAAAAGGCCAGGGCTTAGGGCTGAGGGTCCTGAGGAGAGAGAGAGAGGCCACATAGACGGAGGACTGTCATCCCTTCTCAGTTCTGTCACCCCCCTTGAGTCTAACTCACTGTTGAGGGGAGGGAGAAGGGGGATGGAGAGGAAACTGAGGAGAGACTTTAGGGAGTGGGGTACATTATTCCTCCAGAGGGGTGCTGCCCCACACAGCTGCACCCCACAATCTGGCCAACTCATTTCACAGTATAAATCACTCCAGCAGGACGGCATCACAGCACCCCCTGCTGCCTGAAATCAGAGCCGCCCAACGAGGAAGGCCAGGAGGGTCGGCTGGCAGGGGCCAGGGGCTTGGGATAACACTGTCATCAGAAACAGGGCTGGGGGCTGATTTCGGGGTGGGGAGCCTTAGGAGGCCAGAGATTCCAATCGGAGCCAGTTTTCCTGGGAGGTCGTGGCTAGACAGTCAGGGAAGGACGTTCACATTTCAAAAGAAGTCTGGTCGGGGTACAATTATTCTAGGGGGGCATCGAATTCCCTTTAAGGGGGGGCTCAATTCTGCCCAGAGGGAAAGAGGATCTAACCCCATGGAAATGTGAGATAAATAAGCTAAAGTCGGGAGTACACGGGAAACCAACCTATGCCCCCCCTAAAAGGGTGGGTATAGGAGACGCTGCGTAGGGGTGGCATTTTTCCTTGTTGAGCCTCTCTGGAGAGGACTGCAGCCCGCCCCCTCAGCCCACCTCCCACCCCGTCCCCTCATCCTCACACAGGACTGCCCGAAGGTGGGCGTCACCCCACCTCCCTCCCCACCCATCCCCAGAGCTTAGGTTGACGTCAGAGAGCCAACAGGCAGCTGGGGGTGTCCATCCCCTTCCCACCCCCTGCCCCCAAAGTCACCAGCTCTCCGGCCTCGCCGGGGCACAGAAACAAGAGGCTGGACAAAATACAACGAATCCTCGTGTCCGATGGCATGGCGCAGCGGCCGCAGAGGGTCAGACGGAGGAGCCAAGGAGGCCGCACGCCCACTTTGTCTCTTCCCCTCTCTCTCCTCCTCCTCCTCCTCCTTCTCTTCCAAGTCTCTCTCCCTCGTGTGTTTGTTTGTTTTGTGTGTCTAAAGAGTTCACAGAGCAAGGAGGGAGGGCGAGTTCAGGGGATCGGAAGGCTGGTCACTGCCGCTGGTGCGCTGGGCGCCGGGGAACGCGGAGACCTCCGGGCAGGTGAGGACAAACGAAGAAGTGTACGAAGGGTTAACAACGGGGAAGGGGTCGCCGAGGACTTGAACTTCACTGTGTGTAAAGAGAGAAGCTGTCAGGTTGGGGGGTGCGTCTTGGCTGGTCTGGAAGGGCAGGGGCGGTGGTGGCGGGGGCGGCAGCAGCCAGCTGAAGCCATCTTCCTTAGCCGGTGCTGAGCCCGGCAAATCTCTCACCTCCGCCAGCGGGCCCGGCCCAGGCCCCTCTTCGTAGGGGATCTTGCAGCCTGGTTTGTGGGCCACCAGCACAAACTCCAGACGTTCCTTCTCCTTTTGGAGCTCGGCGATCTCCGACTCCAGTTCTGCTTTTTCTTCCTCCAACTGATCTGTCTCCTGAGGCCGGGGAGGCCAGGTCACCGAAGAGAGGAAAAGAAGGAGAAAAAAGCATGTCAGTGACCGGGAAACTCGGGTCATGGCTCCCCTGGATTTGCTGCTGGAAGGCAGCCCCTGGCTGAGAGCAAACACCCCCCTGAGATGGAATCCTGGTGGCCATGGGATTTGGGGCAAGGGTCTTGCCTTCTAGGAGCCTCAGTCTCCCCCGTCCGTCCAAAGGATAGTAGGGAAGGGGCCAGGTTTATGGGGAAGTCTCTGGTATGCAGAGGTTTGTTGAATGAATGAACAATCGTTATGTGGTTGGTTTTGTTTTGATTTTGAGACAGAGTCTCGGTCTGCCCCCCAGGCTAGAGGGCAGTGGTGCAATCATGGCTCACTGCAGCCTGGACCTCCTGGGCTCCAGGGATCCTCCCACTATAGCCTCCAAAGTAGCTGGGACCACAGTGGTGTGCACTGCCACACCCAGCTAATTTTTTTGGGAGGGGGGTTAGGGACAAGGTCTCCCTATGTTGCCCAGGCTAGTATCGAACTCCTGGACTCAAGCGATCCTCCTGCCTTGGCCTCTCAAAGTGCTGGGATCACAGGCATGAGCCACCCTTATGTGATTTTAATGCGTCCCCTATTACCCCTCCCTCTCTACCTCCCCGGGAAGAGCAGGAAAGTTGACAATTCCCTTATTCCCTCAAGAAGTAACAGCTCACTCTGCAGGCATACTGCAGGAACTCTCAGACTGCGGGTGGATGTAGGAAGGGAGTGGGTTTTGGGGGATGCCACCAGCACCAGGAGAACTGTGGGTATCTAGGGCAAGAGGTGGAGTAATTTCATTTCACAGGCTCTCCAGAATGTTAAGGGTAGAAGGAGCCTGGGAGATTTGATGAGGGTTTGCAGAGATGGAGAAACTGAGGCAAAATGGGTTGTTACTTGCCAAAGACCGGATGGGAGAAATGAGAGGGGCTCCCCTTTCCTCAAGAGCCCTATGTGGCCCCTCGGGATGAAATGAAGGCTAGGAAACTAGGGCACGGGGTCAAGAAATGGGAGGGCAGGAGTGGATTTAAGTACGTGGGGGTCTGTTTTCATGCCTGGGGCTACCCCATCTGGCCACATCAGTACCGAGTTCCACATGTGGAATGTGTAGTTCTCAACCCAGGATAAGGGGACAGGTGGAGAGGTGGTCAGAGAATGGGGAGAGAGCTCCCGTCACCACCCCCTCTCCCACCCCAGGGCCTGTCCTCACCGCCTGGAGTCGGTCGGTCAGCTCCCTCCGCCGGTTCCTGCATTTAGCTGCTGCTAGTTTATTTCGTTCCCGGCGCACCCTTCGCTTCTCCTCTTCCTCTGGGGTGAGCTGAGTTGGGGAAATGGAGGCCATTAGATTTGGGGATACAGTGCTCCTCCACCCATTCCAAACCTCTACTTTCAGAACCCCTAGTAGCCAAAACACCAGCCTCCGGTCCTCGCTCATGTAGCAAGGATCTTGGGGTTTCTGTAACACGGAGGCCTTAATGGAGCCCCCTTCATTCATGAGAAACTTCCTGCCTCTCTTGCTTCCCCCTACCCAGGCCAAGTCCTGGTGCCCCTTACTCACCGTCTCCTCTCGGGGTCTCCTAGGCCGGGCTCGAGCTGGGCGGGCAGGCCCAGGCCCACTGGTGGTTCCGCTGGTGGAAGGCCCGCCACTGCCACTTGCTCCGCCACTGCTGTAGCCACTTATGCCTGGTGTGGAGTAGCTGGTTCCCGGCATGTCGTAGGGGTCAACGACCGGGGGCTGGGAGGCCAGTGGCTGCCCCTGGGACTGGGCCATGGAAGAGATGAGGGTGGGTTGCACAAGCCACTGGAGATCCTGGCTGGTTGTGATCGCGGTGACCGTGGGCACGAAGGAACCGGGCATTTCCCCGAGACCGGCGCACTCCTACGGGGTGACACATACACACACAGGCGTAGACACACAAACAAAGACACCGACACACACACACCCAACACACATAACACACACCGACCCCGTGAGTGAGCACAGGGTGAGCGAGTGTGGATGTGTGTGTCACAGGGAAAAAGCCACAACACCCACCCTTCCACTACACCGTGACGCAGTGGTTAATGAGAGGATTTCTGCTCAACTGGCTTCTACCTCCTCCTTCTTCCTCGGGGAAAGGTTGCATGGTTCCAGCGGGTGGTGAATCACACCCCGGCTTGGTGACTCTTAGGTGTGGGGGGTGGAGAGGAGGCTGGACACAGCCGGGTGACAGAACCCCCGGGACGGAGCCACAGCCACACACACAGCCACAACACCCCACCCCCACCCCAGAGACAAGGGGAGGGAGAAGGAGAGGCCTTAGGCCAAGCCTTCTCTTCACTCACTCACACACACACACACCCCAGTGCGCGAGGTCCCATGCAGGGGTGGGGGTCCCAGTAAAAAGGATGTTTGGGGGACGGGCCTAGGAGTTTAGAACGACGTTTCAAGTTACTGTCTCTTCTCAGAGTGAAACTGACGAGTGACGGGGTAGGGTGAACCGACAGGTAGAGAAAAGTAACCACGGGGGCTCCCTTAGATTGTCGCGGAGGGGGATGGTTCGAGACCTGAGCCCCCAAGCCTCAGCAGCGCTCATCTCCCCCCTCCCGTAAATGGACTCCTGGAACTGCTCTGAAGGCTTAACTACTCTCTCGGGGGGCGTGGTGAGGGATGGGCTGGCTCGCCGGCCAATCAGCGTCCTGGGAACCCAGAGGGGGCGGAGCTCCTGGAGACCACCTGGCTGGTTGCCCTTTGGTTTGCGGTTCTAGTCCGGTCTTGGGACGTACCGCAGGGACTGGGCATCTGGAGCAGACGGAGTGGGAACGTGTCTCTGTGTGCCTGGAGAAGAGGGTGACAGCCACCGCATCTCCCCAAGAAATGCCGGCACACAGACACTCCCTGCTCCTGAGAGCCCAGGGACCCGATCCCCGCAAGGGCCTCGCAGATACATTGGATCGCAGAAAGCCGCCCTTGTCACGACAGGGATCCCCTCGCTCTGCCTTTCTAGAGGTGCCGAAAAGAGACCCAGCCGCCAAAGAACCATGGGTTCCGGGGACAGAGAGGGGGGAGGAAAATGCACGCTACAAATAGGAAGGGAAAGCTGATTGGCCAAGGCCCGCGCCCCGGCGACCAATAGAAACGCCGGGCTACCCCCTCCCTTAGCAACGTGGCCCCGGCGTTCCAAAATAGAACGCTCCCGGGACGTCAGGGGCGGGGCGGACGAAGGGGGCGCCGCGCGCCGTGCGTGCCCCGCGTCAGACGGAGGATTCCAGCGCGTCAGCCGTTACGCACGGGTCCCCCGTTACGTCTCCGCGCAGGAGGCGGAGGCAGCGAGACCGAGGGTTCGAGGCCCCTCTTCCCAATGGGTGGAGGGCGCCCCGGCACCAGAGTGGGCGCTCCGAAGGAGGAGGAAAGGAAAGGAGGCTACTGGAAGCTTCTCCGGGATTTCCCCCACCTGCCTAACTGCGCTAGCTTCAGGTCAGGAACCCGAGCAGGGGACAGTCCCTGGGGCCGGCTCAAAGTTCTCAGCCCCACTACCGCATCCACGTTGCACTGAGCGGTGCATCCCCCTTCCCCAGCTCCAAAGCCTACTCTGCCTGCCGCGTTCGTTCCCTCCCTGCGCTCCACTCACACAACCAACTGCAAACATCTCCCGACTGTTTGCAGTTTGCGAAGTGCGCTGTGAGCCTTTTCCATCTCAGATCTAGGTTTCTGACGCGTCTTTATGTGGGGATTGGGGGTTATTCTTTTCACCCTTGACTTAAAAAATAAAACCTACAAAGACTTAAAAAATAAAACCTACAAAGCAGCACCCCTATTATTAAAAACTTACCTGGGAGGCGGCGGCGGTGGGTGGACTGCCGAAGGAGTCCACCGATGACAGATACTGAGACTCGGCAGAGGGTGAGGAGCTGCACCGGGAGCCGGAGTCGTAGTCTCCGGGAAAAGCCTGAAACATTTCCCTGGGCACAGGGGGGGCCCTGTGACCACGCTGAGGTCGCCGGGAAGCCAAGGCTATGGCCGGGTTGGGGAAGTAAGATGCGAGTCCGGGGTGAGCCGTGGAAGTCCCGCGTGAGCCGAGCGAGTCCTCAAAGTACGCTGTCAGGGGAAGCTCGGGGAAGGAGCAGCGTCCCGTTCCAACAACGGCAAAGTTTCTGTGCAGTCTCTCTGCGGTGCCCAGATCCCCACAGGATGCCGCTGTACCTCCTGAAAGTGCAGGCTCGGTAGGACCCGGGGGCGAGGGAGGGGTTGCTCCCCCAGAGGCAGAAAATGATGTCCCGCTGTACAGAATCACCTTCAGCTACGGTCTCCTCTGCGCGTCCGGCGGGTCCCACTGGGGGAGGGGAGTTATAAAGAAAACTAAAAAAGTAAGTCCGTCCTCCAAAAGAAAAGAAATATCTAGAAGAATCTTTCCAAAAACTTTCTCTCCGGAAAAAAGAATTAACGAAATGTCATAACCCCCAAGAAGAACCACAATAATCAAGTTTCCAAGTCCTGGCTCCGCGTGTTCCTGCCGTGGCCGTAGCTCTCAGTCTTATGAATGAAGCAGACCCGCCAGCCTGTATTTATTTGCCGGGACCCGCCCCCCTGCTTACGTCACCCGCCCCTTGCTGGACAAACTTCCCGAAATCTCCGGCCCCGCCAAATCGAATCCCTCACCTTCCAGCGAGAGGTCTGTTCTGGACTCGATCTGGTCACTCGCACGACCCTTGGGACCCTGGGGGTCTCGGGGGCTGCGTTCCGGGCCACTCGGCGGGAGGGGATCCCGGCCCCGCCCCTCCGGAGTTCCTGTGACGCAATTAGCCATATAAGGAGCTCGGCCGGCGCGGCGGAGTGTTTGTTTGGTATCCTAGCAATGACGTCAGAGGGAATCCCTCGCTCGCTAGCGCGCACCCGGCGCCCCGCCCGCGCCTGCGCAGTGCCACGCCGCCCCGGGGGCTGGTATTAATAGGCGCTTAGACTAGCCCGGGAGGGTCCCCGCTGACCCGGGCGGGGAAGACCCCAGCCTGCACGTCCCTCTCACTTCTGGCTCCCCCACCCACCCTGTTCTACGGCTGGTGCAGCGCCCCCATTCGAGAAGAAGAGATCTCTAAAAGGAGACGCTGGTTAGTGTGGTGTGGTCACGTAGGTGGGGAAACTGAGTCCCGAGCGGGCTGTGATGCCCAGGTGAAAGTGGAGGTAGTGGTGGGACTCCAAGGCTCGTCCCAGTTTCTATCTTGATCCGCTTTGCGAGTTGGGAAATGTTTTCCCTCTGTGAGCTTTAGCTTTAGTCTTCGCGGCTGGACAAAGGATTTGTATCTTGGACCCCGCTGGCCTCCCAGCTCCAGCGTTTGAGAGGCTTGTGGGTTTGGAGGGGATGGGGAATGAAACTAAGGGGGAAGCCTCTCTTCTGATGGTGTTGGGAGCCTCTTTTTCTACCTTTTAATTCCCCCGGAGACAAAGAATGTGTAAGGGGGATGGAGATATTGTTATTAATTGCAATAGTAATAATAATAATAATAATGAATGCCTTGTATTTGGCACTTGGCAAGCACAGCTCCTGTGCTACGCCTTTCAGAACAAGATTTGTAATCCTTAAAACAGCTCTGGAAGGTTAAAAGAGAAAAATCTTCACTTTATAAAAGAAAAAAAAAAGATACTCAGAGAGGTTAAATGACTTGCACAAGATCCCATCACAAGATATTCAAACCCAGAGTTGGCAGACTCCAGAGTTCCTACCGTTTCCATTTCTTTTCTGATTTCTGAGGACTGCCTTGTTGGATGAAACTCCCTGAAAAACCTGTGTCTGGGGATTGTTTAAATGATAATGGTGATAATAGTAGCTGCCACTTGTCAGGTCTTTCTAAGCTTTACAAACTCCGTCTGACTGCTCTTCGCGTGCATTCTTTTAATCTACACTCAGAAGGCAGAGCTGACTACCTGAGCCAACCTAGGTAGCAAATGGGGTTCAAGAGCCTGACTTCGGTTTTTTATTTTATTTACTTATTTATTTTTGACTGAGTCTCACTCTGTTACCCAGACTGGAGTGCAGTGGCACGATCTTGACTCACTGCAACCTCCAGCCTCCCAGGTTCAGGTAATTCTCCTGCCTCAGCCTCCTGAGTAGCTGGGATTACAGGTGCACACCACCACACCTGGCTAATTTTTGTGTTTTTAGTAGACATGGGGGTTTCTCCATGTTGGCCAGGCTGGTCTCAAACTCCCAACCTTGGATGATCCTCCTGCCTCGGCCTCCCAAAGTGCTGGGATTACAGGCATGAGCCACCTCGGCCTCCCAAAGTGCTGGGATTACAGGCATGAGCCACCACACCTGGACTGACTTGGATATTTCTGAGACCACAGCCCCCAACTCTTAAGCACCCACTGGGAAGAGTGCCACCGGCTACTTCACAAACCTCAGAGACCCCAGCACTTCCCTCCCAGTGCACAGCTGGCCCAACCCTCGGCACAGAGGAAGAAGCCCTTTTAAAACATTGGGTTTCACAGGTTCAGAGAGGGTCAGGGCCTGTCTCAGGGTCACACAGCAAGTCTGTGGCAGAGCCAGGGTGATGGTTCTTAATTTTTAGGGGAGTCCTGATTCCCTGCCCCAACAGTAAGGCTAGAGAGACATGGGGGGCATAGGTGGAGGTTCAAGTTTCCAGACAAAAGTCCAGCCTCAAGTCCACCCCCTACCCTGTTCCCCCATACCGCCTCTGTCTGTCACCAGCCAGGAGGGAGGGACAGAGACTGGGGGATGACACAGCAGCCACTAGTAGGCAGTGACTCGGCCCCAGCATCAGACAGGGAGTGACCCCTCATTCTCCTGTCTCATCCAAGCCCCTCATCTCCTCCTCCATGGAATAAAGAAACAGACAAATACCAACCCTGGCTGGCCAGAGACTCACACCCAACACAGGCGACACAGACATCCACACAGCCACCCACCAGGTCACACATGGGCACTCAGACGTTCACCCAGAGCCACATAGAAACAGCTTCACAGACACATGCCAGCATGTGGAAACACACTGTAATATGGTTACCAGCACACACAACACACATCCCTACACACACAAGAAGACATAAGATTCAGGTGTACAGCTAAACAGGGACAGGGACAGACCCCCAAAACACACAGAGACCCCTAGACCTTTACTACAGATGCACATATGATCTCACACACTGAAACACATACACCACTCAGAGATCAAGAGAGCAACACACACACATATACACACACATACACACATATACACACACAGACATATACACACATATACACACACAGACATACACACATACATATACATACACATATACACACACAGACCAACAACCACACATCCTGCAGATGGACTTGTGTAAAGATCTTCACACAACCATAACAAGAGCTAATTCTTCCCAAGAGCTTATATTAATTTATTTAATTCCTACAACACTCCTGTGAGGTACAAATGCTCACTTTACAGGAAGGGAAACGGAGGCCCAGAGATGTGAAGTCATTCACCCAGAGTCACACAGCAAGCAAGTAGCAAAGCTGGAATAACACCCTGCAGGGTGTCAGGCTTCAAAGTCTGTGCTTCGAACTATTATTATTATTTGAGATAGAATCTTGCTCTGTCATTCAGGCTAGAGTGCAGTGATGCAATCACAGTTTACTGTAACCTCGAACTCCTGGCCTCAAGCGATCCTCCTGCCTCAGCCTCCGAAGTAGCTAACACTATAGGTGCATACTACTATGCTCAGCTAATCTTTTTTTTCTTTTAAGGACGAGTCTCACTTTTTAACCCAGGCTGGAGTGCGATGATGTGATCTTGACTCACTGCAACCTCCGGTTTAAGCAATTCTCCTGCCTCAGTTTCCCCAGTAGCTGGGATTATAGGCATGTTCCACCACACCTGGCTGATTTTTGCATTTTTAGTAGAGACGGGGTTTCACCCTGTTGGCCAGGCTGGTATCAAACTCCTGACCTCAAGTGATCCACCCGCCTCAGCCTCCCAGAATGCTGGGATTACAGGTGTGAGCCACCGTGCCTGGCCTAATATTTTTATTAAAAAAAATGGCGGGGGGGCACTATATCCCACCTCATGAGACTGGTGGAAAGATTTCTTAAGGCTCCTGATAGATTGTAGGTGCTGGTTTTTTTACTAAAACAAAGTCTTGGCCGGGTGCAGTGGCTCACCCTTGTAATCGAAGCACTTTGGGAGGCCCAGGTGGACGGATCATGAGGTCAAGAGATTGAGACCATCCTGGCCAACATGGTGAAACCCCGACTCTACTAAAAATACAAAAATTAGCTGGGCATGGTGGTGTGTGCCTGTAGTCCCAGCGACTTGGGAGGCTGAGGCAGGAGAATTGCTTTAACCTAGGAGGCAAAGGTTGCAGTGAGCCGAGATCACACCACTGCACTCCAGCTTGGTAACAGAGAGACTCCGTCTCAAAAACCAAACAAACAAAAAGTCTTCCTGACCTTTATACATGTATACCCTCCTGACCCATATCTGTAGGTCACTTAAATTTATCATGAGCCCTAGGCACTGTGCCCCTGGGCCTAGGAGAGAAGTTGGCCCTGGAGACACACGTACACACACACACCCGCACTCACAGACATGACACATACCTGCTCAGAGAGCATGGGGTGGGTTAGTCAAGTTCTTCTCCATAAGGCTCAATCCTTGCCAGGCGTGGTGGCTCATGCCTATAATCTCAGCACTCTGGGAGGCCCAGGTGGGCAGATCCCTTGAGCCCAGGACTTCGAGGCCAGCCTGGACAACAATGGCAAGACCCCATGTCTTCTAATAATACAAAAACTAGCTGGGTGTGGTGGCGTGTGTCTGTAGTCCC